CTATATTTATTTTAATATCGATGTTTGTTAAAATTAAATTATATTTAGAAATGTACATAACTTATACTGTTAAATATGTATTGCGAAACTTCCGCCTATTCTCCAGAGTTGTAGAAGATTCTCGAGTGTAAGCATCACCAATACATGTGTGTACGTAAACACTAGTGTAGCTTGAAATTGTTACGTAATCTGAATTTTCGAGAAACTCTCCACACGCTTATATACATATATATAAACAATGCGGTGTGCCTAAAAACAGTATCTATTATTGGGTTGCTGTAATTGGTGTGCTATAAACCTAGTAAGTTATAACTGTGATTAACGCTTATTAATCGGGATACTTCAGATATTTGACCAGGAATGTTTATAAATTTTTAACATTACAAACCATTTAACTTCAGTGGATTCACACCGGACATTAGTACTTTTACGAAAACATTACTTAATGTCATCGGTGGAAACTTGACCTGTAATCGGCGTGTGATCAGCGAGAACTACAGGGCTAGTTAGCTCACTGTTAAGTGAATTATACCTACGTCAACTCGAAATTAACTCGCTCATCGTCAACCCTCGATAAGATATCAAGGAAGTTCCAGACTAGAAAGAATACTTTATATTGCTTGTAAGTTTGTGAAACTTTTGTATATAATTCATTGTTTGTAATAACTATTTGTAATAACTGTTATTATAAATTGTATTGTTGTTTGTGTATTAAAAAAGGAAACTGTGTGTATCAATCTTCTTGGCAAATCTCATAAATTGGAGATATATCGGCATATATTTAACTACTAAATTTAAATTATCATTTAGCTCGGTTTCAGACCATTCGAAATTGTAACAGGTAACATAACACAACTCGCTTAGTTCCTGCAAGGCCCCAGAATCAGTTGACGTTGATGTACCATCAATACCACCTTATTCTTACAATGCTCAAACCCGAAGTTCCATTCCCCGCGGCTTTGCGCTAAAAACCAACCAACATGTGACACATGGACTAATTGGTCAGATCAAAGATCCCAACAACCAGATCAGAGATCCCAAAGTTCAAGCATAGCTATCCCTAATTTTGATACTCTTTACGAGTTCCATCCACATGCAAATGTAAATTAATAATATAAGAACCACATAGTTAAAGATAGATAGCTTAATGGTCGAGTGGATAGACAGATAGATAAAGAGATGAACGAACAGACAGCTGGATGGATGATCTGATAGAGAAATATTTAGATTGACGGATGAATGAACAGACGAATGGAGAGATAGATAGACAGATACAGAGAAATGTTACGTTTAATATGGGTTATAAAGTTGAGAGTATATATTAATTACATTTAAATTAATTTCCTAATTAACTTTTGCTTCGTTTATCATTTGCAAAAAGTGATGTTACTGATTAATCTGGAGAGAATGAGAGGATGACTACCTAAAAAACCACAACAACAACAAAAATCAATTTCGTAATAACTCGTATTCAATTTGGGAAAGTTTAGCTTGGCTGAGCTTGAGCTCTTAATTTCGCTCTCATCTAAAACACTCGCATCAACTGTGACGTCGTTCAACCCGGTATGGAAATGTAGTAAACGTTGTTACCCACTTAACTCGGAACTTTTAGAAAAGAAACATAAACAAACAACAAAACAAGTGCCCGAGACAAGTATCAAAGAAATAGTGGAAGACTTCACTTAAATCAACATTTTTTACAGAAGTTGACAGTGCCCTTCTCAAACTATACTGACATGTTATTTATTAATAGCTCATCTAAACGATATATTTCCATTCAGGCCTACCAGAGATCGCGTCCATGTACAATCCCACTTTAATTAAAATTAAAGAAAAACATCTCGATACGACCA